GGGTGGTAACGGCCGACAGGGAGCTCTGGCGTGGGCTGGTCCATGAGGTCACGAAGAGTCGGAGACGACTGAACGAATGAACAACAACAACATAACATTTATAAGTAAAGGTTTTCCCCAGATATTAAGTCCAGTCGTGTCCGATTCTCAGGGTTGGTGCTCATCTCAATTTGTAAGCCGAAGAGCCGGCGTTGTTCGTAGACATCTCCAAGGTCATGTGGCCAGCATGACTGCATGGAGCGCTGTTACCTTCCCCCCTGAGTGGTACCTTTTGATCTACTCACATTTGCATGTTTTTGAACTGTTAGGTTGGCAGAAGCTGGGGCTGACAGTGGAAGCTCACGCCGCTCGCCGGATTCGAACCTGCGACCTTTCGATCAACAAGTTTAGCAGCACAGTGGTTTAACCCACTGTGTCACTGGCTGTCTCAAACCCTCAATGGCTTTTCACTAGATGGTTGGTTTATTTTATTTATTTATTTACAGTTTTTATATTCCGCCCTTCTCACCCCGCAGGGGACTCAGGGCGGATTACAGTATACACATATATGGTAGACATTCAATGCCAGTTTGACAGACAACGAATACAGACAATACACAGAGGCTTTTAAACTTTTTTCTGGCTGCCAGGGGAGCTGCTGCTTTCATCGTCCATCAGCGACACCGATGAAGTTCTTCCACATTCCACATCCCGGAGTTTTCTTTATGGCCTCATAAATTAGTTAAGCAGTGTAATTCATACTTGTCTATTGAAAGCAAAGGAAGACTGAATATCACCAGGGTGTGGAATAAATTGATCTGATAACACTGACAAGCCCTTTTTGATTGGGCTTGCATAAGGTAAATAATGGCAGTTACTTAAGAAAGTCAGCCGTTGGTATCCAGATTCAGATCCACAGATTTAACTATCCGCATCTTGAAGATATAATAATAATAATAATAATAATATTTATTTATTTGATCATTCATATGCCCATTTCAAAATAGAACGTGAGTAAAAAACAAGATATATATAAAAACAAAAGCAAAGCTTTGTTTTGCAATGTCATATATGGGTCACCATATGATTATGTCATTGTGTATAATGGAGCATAAGCATTCAAGTTTTTGGTATTCACAGGTGGGCCTAGAAACAAACCCCAATGCATACCAGAAGTCCTCTCTTGTTATAATTTCTCTTTGAGCAAAAATGGAGGTGAGGTATGCTCCTGAGCATATGTGATTGGTTCCTCTCACCATGAAGAAACAGTGACCAATTGTGACATTGTGTTCATGACATAGGACAAGGAGACCACCCCAGCCTGTCTGAGCAGCTCAGCAGTATATAGAGCAGGTGGCCTTTGCTGTGAGAAGACATGGAGGTTGGGGCGTTGGAGTGACCTTCAGCTGCTGCTTCAAGGTAAGTAATTCCTATGTCATATTGAAGAATACACTGTGATGATCTACAAGAGCTGAAACACACCAGCAAAGAATGGGAACAGTTTGAATAGTGTATTATATCATTACACTGCAAGTGAGCTTAGTACTCAGCCCCACCAACTACAATAGGCCGGGCTGTAGCACAGCTGGTTAATCACTAGCAGCAATAAATCACTGCCTGCCGGAAGGTGGCAAGTTTGAAGCCCGAGTCAGGGTTGAGCTCCCGACTGTTAATAGCCCAGCTTACTGTTCACTGAAGCAGTTCAAAAACAGCTGTGCTGTGAATAGAGAAATTAGGGACTGCTTAAAGCAGGGAGATTAATTTATGACACCATAAAAATGCTGGAGGTAAAGAGCATGAAGGAAATACTACGATCAAAAAGGTTTGGTGTCATCGTGGATGAAGCAACAGCTCCCCCTGTGGCTGGAATCGAGCAACCTCTAGGATTTCAAGTTGGAAAAACTGCTGAATGATCTCTATCTGTCTGTATGTCTAAAAACGGCATTGAATGTTTGCCATGTATGTGTGCCTTGTGATCCGCCCTGCGTCCCCTTTGAGGTTAGAAGGGCAGAATGTAAATACTATAAATAAATAAATAATGGATATTATTTTTCAAGTAATTGGGTTGTTGTAGGTTTTTTTGGGCTATATGGGCATGTTCTAGAGGCATTTCTCCTGATGTTTTGCCTGCATCCTCAGAGGTAGTGAGGTCTGTTGGAAGTAGGAAAAAGGGTTTATATATCTGGGGAATGACCAGGGTGGGACAAAGAACTCTTGTCTCCTGGAGCTAGGTGTGAATGTTTCAACTGACCACCTTGATTAGCATTTGATTGCCTGGCAGTGCCTGGAGCAATCTTTTGTTGAGAGGTGATTAGATGTCCTTGTTTGTTTCCTCTCTGTTGTTGTGCTGTTGTAATTTTAGAGTTTTTTAATACTGGTAGCCGGATTTTGTTCATTTTCATGGTTTCTTCCTTTCTGTTGAAATTGTCCACATGCTTGTGGATTTCAATGGCTTCTCTGTGTAGTCTAACATGGTGGTTGTTGGAGTGATCCAGCATTTCTGTGTTCTCGAATAATATGCTGTGTCCAGGTTTGTTCATCAGGTGCTCTGCTATGGCTGACTTCTCTGGTTGAAGTAGTCTGCAGTGCCTTTCATGTTCCTTGATTCGTGTTTGGGGCAACAGAGAGGAAACAAACAAGGACATCTAATCACCTCTCAACAAAAGATTGCTCCAGGCACTGCCAGGCAATCAAATGCTAATCAAGGTGGTCAGTTGAAACATTCACACCTAGCTCCAGGAGACAAGAGTTCTTTGTCCCACCCTGGTCATTTCCCAGATATATAAACCCTTTTTCCTACTTCCAACAGACCTCACTACCTCTGAGGATGCAGGCAAAACATCAGGAGAAATGCCTCTAGAACATGCCCATATAGCCCAAAAAAGCTACAACAGCCCTGTGATTCTGGCCATGAAAGCCTTCAACAATACATTTTTCAAGTAATTGTTTGTAGTTATACAAAACCTCAGTTATCAGTACTGCCCTGAATTCCCATACAACCAACTATGTGAAGGATTGCTCAAAGAAGCATTTTTAACTAGATTGCCCACCTTATACCCTTAGCCCTGAATTCCATGTTGCATACAAAGATGTATAAAATGGCTGTTAATGCTAGGACTTTAAAGGGGCAGGAAAACTTCATGTCTTATGACTGATGTGGGCCAAACAAGAGGCAATCCTAAATTGAATGGCTTGCAGACTTGTACAAATTTATTTATTTTTTCAATATAATTTAGAGGGCAGGGGATCCCTGGTTCAGGACAGTAACACACAGGCAAAATTTCCCACCTCTATTCCAAACATAGTGGTGGTGGTGGTTGGGGGGAGGGAGAATGACCTCTCTGTGCTGCAGTTTACAACATAGGGAAGAAAAAGCTCCATCCAATGCCAATTGGAGATGGGCATGAATTAATATTTCCGCAGGAAAGTGTTATTTCCTGTTTCATTGTGTGATACTTACATTGAAAGTAATTGTTCTACTTCAGAAACTTGGTTTTTGTGGCTGCCAAGAACTGTGCTGAATTGGTTGATACTTTATGAGATATTCATTGAAAAAATATAGCAAAATGTGCTGTAGGATGTCCTGCAAAAACAAAGCTTTTCCAGTTTAATAAACCTTTTCCATGTTTTTATGACAGAACCAATTAGGAAATGAGATTTATAACCCAGGAACAAAAATCATGTTACATAGTGTAATCTGTATTTGGGTCTTTGAGTCTTTTCTGTCCTGATTCCTGGATAAAGATCAGCTCTAAAGAACTCTTTTGATTGGAGAAAGTCAAGTAGGAAACACCTCTTTCTCTCCAATACTGTCTAATTTGTTTTGAGGAAGGGGAAAATGCAGATCAATGGGAGGAATAAAGAAACGGTGACTTGGCTGGCCATGAGGTGAAGAGCTTATAAAAACAACGACAAACAAATTAAGGAATCATATAATATTGATAAGAAAAAAGACTTTGCTGATAAAGGAAACTTTTGGGACAAAATACGTCAGAAAGAAAAATGATTACAAAAATTTACAATCAACTACTGGAATGGGCCACTGAAAAGGAGATAATAAAAGAATCAATGATTAATTGGGCTAGGAATATTGGAAGATCTATTTCGTTAAAGGAATGGGAAATAATATGGAAAAAAAGGTTAAAATATACTTACGCCTCCGATCTACAAGAAAACTGGTTAAAAATGATGCATAGGTGGTATATGACCCCAAAAAAACTAGGCTTAATGTACAAACAATTGAACAAAAACTGTTGGAAATGTAAAAATCATGAGGGATCCTTTTACCATATGTGGTGGTCTTGTGCAAAAGCTAAGAATTATTGGAAAATGATCCACCTAGAATGCAAAAAAATTTTGAAAATAGAACTTCCCTTTCAACCAGAACTATACTTATTAGGGATGTTTGATACAGATCTCCTTAAGGATACAAATAAAGAAAAGCTCCTTACATTTTTTATTACTGCAGCGAGAATGGTATACGCCAAGATATGGAAGCAGGAAAATACACCGGAAAAAATAGATTGGATTGGGAAAATAAAGGATATTAAGGACATGGATGAACTTACATATTGGCTTAGGCAACATAAAGGCCAAGCAACAATTCTAACAGATTGGTCGGTTCTGCAAGAATACTTAGAGAACAAAGAAAATTTGATTTGAAGTATTGAAAGAAGGAGAGTTAGAAAAATCTACAATGTTAGACTTTATATAAGACATTTATAGACATATCGACTTACGATACATGGTTTATGTAAGAACAGTAGTTTAATTTTCAGCACAAAGTAAGAAGAATGGAGGTCACGATAGGGTGTTGGGACTCTCGGGGGGGATTATAATCATTTGGTATTTTGGTATTTGGGTGTTTTTGTTTTTTTTTCTTTTTTTTCGTTTTTTTCTTTCTTCTTTTTTAATACTCCTCTTTGATTTCTGTTGCTATCATTTTGTTTTTATTGTATATTGTTTGAAAATTTGAATAAAAATTATTTTTTTTAAAAAAAACAACGACAAACAATGTCATCTTCTGTAATAATTTTGAATGTAGTGTTTATTAGTTTTCCGCCATCTTTCTCCATACAGATACCCAGATAAAACCTGGCAGTTTTGTTTGAACTGGAAACCATCTTGGCTGGATCTTAAAATTTCAGACCAAGCCTTTCATTAATCCAGTAAAAAAAAGACTGAAGGAATCATTGGGTATCTGATGCCAAAAGTAGCACACAGCCCTTATAGCTGGACATCATGCTGCTGGTATTTCAGAAGCTTTTAGAGCCTAATGTGAGCTTACACCCATGTATACTAAGAGGGTAGCATGTAATTTTATTTCTGTTCCGAAGGTTGTGGCTGGATCTTCTTAACAGCCTCAAGGACAGCGTCAAGGCTCACTTTGTCTCCAAATTCCTTCTCACGGTGCTCTAACAGAACTCCCTAAAGCAGAAGGAGAAATATGGGTCAGGGATGCACTTTGGCAGAAATAGTCAAGTCTATTAAAACTTTATACAAGATGGTTGGCGCTCTAATTCTTCATGTACAGAGAACTTGATAACCAAGGTCAAATTCTCAAAACACTTTTTTCAAAAAGGCAATATTTGAGCCCTTAGTAAGAAATTTTAAAACAGGACTCATACTTTCAGAGGTCCTCCTTGTATCCAGTCCTTCAAAGATTATGATTTATAGCCTCTAAAGCAGTGGTTCCCAACCTTTTTTTGACCATGGACCATTTTGACTAAGGACCCCTATCGAACATTAGTACCAAAAGGGTTATAAATCAGTTTTTGGTCAACTTTAGATTCGGTTTGGTGATTTGGGGTGCTGGTTCAGAAAACTGCATTGGATAGACCACATCAGCTCTAGTTTCTGATGCAGAAGATACGCCATCCAGTGGTCACCATCTGCCTGCCCACAGAAAACCATATTTAATAATCTAGAACTGTTATGGTAGTAGTAATCTTTCGTGGGTAGCCAGCCTCTCTCCTCCCAACATCCCTGTTGCCTCGGCACTGTATTTATTTATTTATTTATTTACAGCTTTTATATTCCACCCTTCTCACCCCGCAGGGGACTCAGGGTGGATTACAGTGTACACATATATAGCAAACATTCAATGCCAATTTTGACATACAAACATATACAGACATACACAGAGGCTATTTAACTTTTTCTGGCCGCCAGGGGAGCTGTCGCTTTCATCGTCCATCTGCGACGCTGATGAAGCACTTCCGCATTCCCCGCATGCTTCCCGCTGGAATGCTTTGCTGGAGTCTTCTTTATGGCCTCATAAATCAGTTAATTTAGCCTCCCCACACTTTTAAGGTGGTACCTAATTTTCCTACTTGACAGATGCAACTGTCTTTATTTATTTATTTATTTATTTATTTATTGCATTTGTTGACCGCCGTTCTCAGCCCTAGGGCGACTCACGGCGGTGTACAACATATAAAAAGACAATTTACAATGAAAGCAATATCATAAACAACAATAACAACATCACTATTAATAATACCATTACACTAAATCATTCGCGACGTCTCATCATAGAATCACAATCCAATCTCGTTATCCATATTCCGTTCCAATCATCATTGCCAATTGTTGTAGCACTTAGTCAAACGCCTTCTCAAACAACCACGTCTTTAGTCTCTTGCGGAATGTCATAAGGGAGGGTGCCTGTCTGATGTCTACAGGGAGGGTGTTCCACAGCCGGGGGGCCACCACCGAGAAGGCCCTATCCCTCGTCCCCGCCAGGTGCCTGTGAGGCAGGCGGGATCGAGAGAAGGGCCTCCCCAGACGATCTCAAGGCCCTCGTGGGCTCATAGGCCGAGATGCGGTCCGATAGGTATTTTGGGCCGGAACCGTTTAGGGCTTTGTAGGCTAACACCAGCACCTTAAATTGGGCCCGGTAGCAGATCGGCAGCCAGTGGAGCTGGGACAACAAGGGCGTTGTATGCTCCCTGCGTCCCGCTCCTGTTAGTAACATGGCTGCCGCGCGCTGGACTAGCTGGAGCTTCCGGGCCGTCTTCAAGGGCAGCCCCACGTAGAGAGCGTTGCAGTAGTCAAGGCGGGATGTGACCAGAGCGTGTACTACCGTGGCCAAGTCAGACTTCCCAAGGTACGGGCGCAGCTGGCGCACGAGCCTGAGCTGTGCAAATGCTCCCCTGGTCACCGCTGAAACCTGGGGATCCAGGCTCAAGGATGAATCCAGGATCACACCCAAGCTGCAAACCTGCGCCTTCAAGGGGAGTGCGACCCCATCCAGCACAGGCTGTAACCCTATACCCTGTTCGGCCTTGCGACTGACCAGGAGTACCTCTGTCTTGTCTGGATTTAATTTCAGTTTGTTCGCCCTCATCCAGACCATTACAGCGGCCAGGCACCGGTTCAGGACCTTGACAGCCTCCTTAGTAGCAGGTGGGAAGGAGTGACAGAGTTGGACATCATCTGCGTACAGATGACACCGCACCCCGAAACTCCGGATGATCTCACCCAGCGGCTTCATGTAGATGTTAAACAGCATGGGGGACAATATAGAACCCTGAGGAACCCCACAGGTCAACGGCTGTGGTGTTGAACAGGTGTCCCCCAATAACACCTTCTGGGTGCGACCCTCCAGAAATGACTGGAGCCACTGCAGAACAGTGCCCCCAAGACCCATTTCCGCAAGGCGCCCCAGAAGGATACCGTGGTCGACGGTATCGAAGGCCGCTGAGAGGTCCAGGAGCACCAACAGGGACACACTCCCCCTGTCTAGCTCCCGGCGCAGATCATCCACTAAGGCGACCAAGACCGTCTCGGTTCCATGCCCCGGTCTGAAACCAGACTGTGCCGGATCCAGAATATCCGTGTCTCTCAAGAATACCTGGAGTTGTGAGGCCACCACGCTTTCCATGACTTTGCCCAAAAAGGGGAGATTGGAAACAGGCCGAAAGTTGTCAAATTTAGTGGGGTCCAGTGATGGTTTCTTCAACAGCGGTTTTATAATAGCTTGTTTTAAGCTCGCTGGAATCTTGCCTTCCCTAAGGGAGGCATTAACCACCACCGTTACCCACTCAGCCAATCCCCCTCTGGCCTCCTTCAGAAGCCAGGATGGGCAGGGGTCTAGGATGGACGTGGTGGGCCTCATCCCTCCAAGTATCTTGTCCACATCCTCGGGCTTCACAAACTGAAAAGAATCCATCAAAATAGGACAAGCAGGTGCTCGTGTCACATCCTCAGAGACTGCATTTAACATGGTGTCCAGCCCAGAACGGATCAAAGCGACTTTGTCTGCAAAAAACCGAGCAAATGCTTTGCAGCGCGTGACCGAATTGTCAGGGCTCCCGCCTGAGGTGGCGGGAGTTAAAAGACCTCTGACAATCCGGAACAACTCTGCCGGACGGTTCCTTGCAGACGCAATAGTGGCCGCAAAGAAAGTTTTCTTTGCGGCTTTTATTGCCGCGGCATATGCCCTTAGAAAGGACACAAACCGTGTTCGATTTGACTCGCTCGGATCCGAGCGCCACACGCTCTCTAGTTCCCTCTTCCTTCGCTTCATCACTGCCAGCTCCTCAGTAAACCAAGGAGCTGGTTTAGCTCGGCTACTTGAGAGGGGACGTTCCGGAGCGATCATGTCAATTGCCCTGGCCATCTCCCCATTCCAGAGAGCGACCAAGGCCTCGACATGGTCACCTACCGAGGAGGCGGGAAAATCCCCAAGAGCCGTCAGGAATCCATTAGGATCCATAAGCCTCCTGGGGCGGACCATCTTAATGGGTCCTCCACCTTTGCAGAGGTTGGGGGGCACAGTGAGCCTAAATCTGATCAGGAAGTGGTCAGTCCATGGCAACGGAGAGATGGACAACTCTTCCACACCGCCACCCTGCTCCCATCGCTGGCAGAAAACCAAGTCCAATGTATGTCCAGCACAGTGGGTGGGGCCAGATATTTGTTGGGACAGCCCCATGGTTGCCATGGCAGACATGAAGTCCTGATCTGGGTTGTAAAGGTCGACAACAGGCTACACACAATTGGTTGGAAACCCACTCCAACCCGGGCTGGCTTTGAACTCATGACCTTTTGGTCAGAGTGATCTTAATGCAGCTGACACTCAGCCAGCTGCGCCACAATCCCGGTGCTGTAAGAGGGTTTCACAAGACTAGTTGCTCTCGTTGCCGTGTGGTTTGGAAGGAATGGTGTAGTAATGGTGAGAATTGTATTTTCGTTCTTGTGGATCAGTAGTGGTCCACAGACCACAGGTGGGGAACCACTGCTTGATTACGTATGGGTAATGTTACCACATATTAAGTCATAAGCAAACAGGAGAGAGTATCTTGCAATTCCTCAATATTCCCAATTTAGCTAAGACCTCTTTCTGGTTCCAAGCATCCCACTGCCCCCTTTTAAGTAGTAATAGTAGTAGATACTATTATTAACTTTATTTATGCCCTGCCTTTCTCCCCATGGAGACTCAAGGCAGCTAACAATCCCACACTTGAGTCAAGTTTAAATAGCACAATAAAAAAGTTATAAAACAATGAAACAGTACATTTTAAGTTGCTTCACAACTGTATGAGGCTCCTTATCTATGGCTTCTCATGCATTTTTGCAAGATGTCTGAAATTGCCAATTACGGGAAATACTCTCTTTTCCATACTCATGTGCCTAACCCAGCAACCTCTGGTGCAAAGTTTGGTCATATTTGCTAGTGACTGAACTTCATTCATTTAATTTTTGTTCTATATTTGAACTACAAGAAAATATTCATAGAGGTTAGCAGAAAACAAATTAAACAGCACAATGGTTAAAATATCATAAGCAAAGAAAATTTAATAATCACAGCAATTGAGAGTGTTTAAAAGGCAGATCTGGAAAAAATGTGTCTTTATACTCTCCCTGGAAACAGAGGGAGCATAGACTCTACAAACGACAAAAGAGAAAACCTTGTGGTGACAGTGTACCTAAGAAGGCCTTTCCTGAAAATCTTAGCATTCAGGCAGATTTGTAATAAGGAATTCAGTTTCCCCTGACAGCCGGACTAACATTATTTTGATCCTGAAATGCCTAGAAACAGGGCCATCCCATTTTGCACTCCCTACCACGTACCTGTTTTCCAGGACCAACCACAAAAACTCCTCCCAGAACAAAACCTTCTCCATCCATGTTCCCAGTATATCCACCCTTCCAGGCACGAAAGAAATTCTTCCACACGCTGCAGCGAATAAAGCCCATGAATAGCATCTTTCTCTTATGAGGGCCATAGAACATTTTCTGCAGAATAGAAAGAGACACACACAGCCAAAGGTATGAGGGGGAATTTTCTTAGAGAACTAAAGTGACACATATGGACAAAACTTTGTGGAGTAAAAAAGTGTTGTCATTTGCAATTACAAAGTTGAGCTCACTATGGCTAGGTCAAGTGTCAACTGTTATTCCCTAGGATTGCAGACACAGTTTATGAGGTGCTGGCCCGCAAAAATGACTTCCTGGAAATCTTAGGATTTTGTGCAAGTTTTTAGGCTTCATGACTGCAGAGATAAGTTATCAAATCCACATCTGGTGGCTCTTTGAACACTCATAAATGCATTAAAGCATAAGCTTTCACAAGCAGCAGCCTGTTCAATTGCTTATCCTTTAATGATATGGGCATAGAAAGCTATGCCAGAATAATTTGTCTGAAAGGTGCTCCTTAGGCAGACACCCTACATCTTGCTAGTAATCTTTGCCATGGGGGAGATGGCAGAACCATTTCTCTGCCTGGTTGAGTCTGCCACTGCTACCCCCTGTTGTTGGCCACTAGGCGGGAAAATATTAAAACATGCCCTTTTGCTGAAAAGTAAAGGGAATGCTTGCAAGTATCAGATGCCGAAGGGACAGTTGCATACGATCTCCCATATTTTTGAACTGGAAGACATTAGTTTTATAGATTTATATAGTTTTTATTGCTTCTATGATTTTTATATGCATTTACTAGCTGTCCCCTGCCACGCATTACTGTGGCCCACATGGGGGTTCTGTGTTGGAGGTTTGGCCCAATTCTATCGTTGGTGGGGTTCAGAATGCTCTGTGATTGTAGGTGAACTATAAATCCCAGCAACTACAACTTCCAAATGTCCTTGTGGGAGGCTTCTCTCATGTCCCCGCATGAGGAGCTGGAGCTGATAGAGGGAGCTCATCTGCCTCTCCCCGGATTCGAACCTGCGACCTGTCGGTCTTCAGTCCTACCGGCACAGGGGTTTTACCCACTGCGCCACCGGGGGCTCAAAAAAACAAAACAAAACAAAAAAAACCCAAACAACCCAATGTATGTCCTTTGAGTTTTTGAGTGAAGGACATACATTGGATTGTTTGGTGTATGCTGTCCAAATTTGGTGTCAATTCGCCCACTGGTTTTTGAGTTCTGTTATTCCCACAAACGAACATTACATTTTTATTTATATAGATGATGTAATTTAATTGCTTTTAACTGAGATATGTGTGTATATAAATACGGCATCTAATTGTGCCGGTTCTGTATGCCACCGTGAGTCGCGTTCGGGCTGAAATCGGCAGGATAAAAATGAGAATAAATAAATTTTAACGCAGAGCTTTCCAAATATTTCATGTTGGCAACACAATTTGTAGACTGACAAGATTCAGTTTGACTAGCAAACCAGAGGTTAAACCAGGCATGCGCAACCTTTGCCCGTTCAGGTGTCTTGGACTTCAACTTCCACAATTCCTAACAGCCCGTGGGAGTTGAAATTCTAAACACACGAAGGGCCAAAGGTTGCCCATGCCTGGGTTAAACCAACCCCTTGTAAGAGATATGAGCAGATACATAAACTGGATTAACGAAATGTATGGAGACACAACATATCTCATGAAAACCATTTATATTTTTAAAAACATATGACTCATTACTTATTTTACATAGATTCAGAAGTTTCTCAATGTGTTCACGCGACACACCTACGCACTGCAGCCGACACACTAATATGTCGCAACACATATTTTGGAAAGCTGTGTTACAGTATGTCACGCAAAATGGCATAGCTACCATAGCTCCTTCACCTACCTTTTGCCAGCACATAAAATGTAAAGCTTCTGTACCTGCAGAATTTTAGGATGTAAATGACAATTTTCCTTTTAACTATAACAGAAAGATCTGTGGGATCCCTACCTTTAATAATGATACGCTTCTCTTCCTTGCCACTTTCTTTTCACTTGCCTAAGTGTGCAATCACACAATGTCTAGAGTATGGATTTCTCGACACAATGGCAGTCCAATGAATAATAAATGTTATTGCTTTTAGCTGGCTTATACTATTAATTAAGCTGATGTTTTTGTAGAGACTTTCTGTATATATTTCAGATTTCAATATTAATGTCAATATGTAGTATGATTTTACATAGGATTTGTGCTACATTAGAACAGTAAAGACAAATATCATTTAAGTAAAATAAACATTAAATATTAAATAACCGGAAAAATAAAATAAGGTGTAAACACTAAACTAATCTGGGAATCTGCTATTGCAACACATCTAATGAAGTGGTTTAAAACCAGTATAAAAAGAGATTAGGACTAAGTACATTCCTGTCTAGGAGTTTACATCTTTGTTATCTGTATGTTGAAGCCACTATCAAAGCATTGAAAAGCACTGAAGTGACTAGCAGGAGGAACTAAAAAGGGAGTCTTTCAGAGTTAGAGTACAAGGTTCAAACAGGGTTTATAGTCACTTTGCGGGTGTTCAATATTCTGCCCAATTCTTTGAAATTATGGGGCATAATCCATCACTGGGTGGTGAAGCATGCCCAATTTGGTGTAGATGTATTGGCATTAACTTTCATGTAACATTGAAGAACAGAACAAAGGAGTATATAAGGGGCTCTTTGGGATTGAACTATATATGGGTTTGCATGTGCAAGTAATTGTGGGAATACAACCTCAAAACACTCAGATTTGCAGTGCAAAATCCTTTCGAGCTCTGGGCATATATGAATGCAAGGAACAGGATAGAAATTACCACAAAAGGTGATCAGGATAAGAAATTTTCATCTTGCCAAAATCAAAATCCTATAAATACGCCTCCTGTTTGCAAACTAGCTTCTCTGCAGCTGTAAAATGCAAATCGTGTCCACAATCTACTACACTGGCCAACACATATTTTGGTACCTCAAATGTTAGGCATGTTTCTGGGTATTTTTGACCTGCTGATTCCAAAAATGATATCAGTTTCCTTCTATCACTTCTAGTTTTAGAGATACAGAATGTATGTCAGATGCTAGTCTTCACCTGCTTGCCCATAACAAATCATAATAACCACATCTAAGGAACTAGTGCTCATGTAGTCTATCCAACGCAATTTTCTAAATCAACGCCCCAGGAACAGGCCTGAAAAATCAAAACACCAAGAATGTTGTTGTCCTTGGCCTGTGCTATTAATAAATAAAAGAGACGAACCATAGGTTCCTCCAAATGCCCCAATTACATTTGGCTCAGGGGGTTCTATTTTTAGCTACCTCGCTTCTGTTCTAGGGTGCCTCCCTGGAACAGAAGCCAATTCCAAGAAATGATTAAAATGATGAGGGGAGCCTTCTCTTCACTTATGTCTGTTTATAGGAAAATCATGCAAGAACACGCCAGGACTTCAAAGCTTAATTGTGTCCCTACATTAATGATTCATAAATAGAAACGTGAAAGCCAATTAACCTCTTAAGTAGCAGCTAAAAGCAATTAAGCTCTTCTGCATGCCAGCATCTCTCCCATTCTCAAACTATCGCAGAAGGGACTTGTGAAGGGTGAACATGTGCAAAGTCACATCCTTTATCACAATGGGGCTTAACATGTGGCAGTCACAAAATAACATATTGTAAGTAGATTTGATTTCCGAGGCTGCTGAAAAACTGATATTCTAGCATGCCACTTCAAAACATGTGCTCATACTCACAAGTTGGGTGGCAAGTGGTGCTCTTTGTAGCAGGCTGAAATAAGATCGCTCAGAGCCTTTAAAAATCTAAATTACTATACAATACAAATGTTGCCTAGGGTGCTTCTTACATATCTCTATTACATATCTCTACAAGGGCCACCCATGCTGGAAAGCAAAACAGAAACCCAGAAGCAAATTAGTATTCTTACTAGAGATATACAAGAAAAAACTTTTTTTCCAGTTTTCTTACCCTAGATGAGAAATGGATGTCAACACAATCACTACAGCTTTTTTTTTTGCATATTTGTTTTTAATTTTTTTCTTATATTTTGAGGCATTTTTGTTTTCGTTTTGGGGAAGCAACCTATTTTGTACAAATGTTATGATACAAAATACTTATGTGCAAAATTCATTTTGTAAAAAGGAGAAAAATGCCGTAGAATGTGAAAATCACTGAAAAATATACAAAAATTGTTATAAATTTTAACAAGGCAAAAAGCATTGGATTATTTTCTTCTCATGTGCAGGAATAGCAAAGCCACTCTTATTTTTCAGCTTTGGGCTTCACTGAAGTAAACATATGGCCTTCATTTCAGATAAGAGGCCATCTGTATTGTGAATGAATAGCATGCTGGTCAGCACAAGTTTCATACTTGCATGACACCCAATTTAAGCAAGAATAGCTTTTAACCCTTGCAAATCAATATCTGTTTAGACAGAGAAGCTCCCATTTTCTAGTCCGAATGTGAGCCGGCAAGATTAAGATATTCTGGGGAGGCACTGCTCTTGATCCCACCTCCTTCGCAGGCATGGTTGGTGGGGATGAGAAACAGCGCCTTCCCTAGGCTATGGCACTCCCTCCTGAATGAAATTTGATCAGCCCCCTTCCTCTTGAACTTTAGGAAAAGACTAAAAACATGGTTGTTTGAGGAATCTATCAGTGCAATAAAAAAGATGAAACAGTGTAACGACAAACTGGAATGGCCCCGGACTATGATATTGGATTGAGTGATTTTAAATAATTGGTTTCGAAGGTTTTATTACGTTTTAATGGTTGTTTTTAATGTTTTTATTATGTGTGTGTTTTTGGCATCTAATTGTTGCCTATATATGTAAGCCGCCTTGGGTCCCTTATGGGGTTGGGAAGGGCAGATCATAAATACAGTAAATCAGTGTTTCTCAACCTTCCTAATGCCACGACCCCTTAATACCATTCCTCATGTTGTGGTGACCCCCAAGCATAACATTATTTTTGTTGCTCCTTCATAACTGTCATTTTGTTAGTGTTATGAATCGTAATGTAAATATCTGATATGCAGGATGTATTTTCATTCACTGGACCAAATTTGGCACAAATACCCAATACACCCAAGTTTGAATACTGGTAGGGTTGGGGGGGGGGGTGATTTTTGTCATTTGGGAGTTGTAGTTCCTGTGATTTATAGTTCACCTACAATCAAAGAGCATGCTGAACTCCACCAACAATAGAAGTGAACCAAATTTGGCACACAAAACTTCCATGACCAAGAGAAATTCATTGAAACTCATTGACCTTGAGTCTTGGAGTTGTAGTTCACCTACATCCAGAGAGCACTGTGGACTCAATGATGGATCTGGACCAAACTTGGCACACAGACCGAACATGGGCAAGTGTGAACACTGGTGAAGTTTGGGGAAAATAGACTTGACATTTGGTAGTTGTACTTGCTGGGATTTATAGTTCACCTACAATCAAAGAGCATTCTGAACCCCACCAATGATAGAATTGGGCCAAACTTCCCATACAGAACCCCCATGACCAAAAGAAAATACTGTATTTTCTGATGGTCTTTGGTGACTTCTCGGACGCCCCCCTCGCAACCCCCCCAGGGATCCCGACCCCCAGGTTGAGAAACACTGCGGTAAATAAATGCAGAAATCAATAGTTACATTTACCTTTTCATCCAGAAATATTTCCCCTTTAAAATATGGCTGGAAATCCATCACTTCGGTCCCAAGGTTCTCTTTCACAACGGCGTAGAGAGGGACCCCCAGCTTGTCAAGCTGAGGCTTCAGAGAGGACAGCTCAGCAGCCTCCTAAAAGTGATATAAGAATTGGGTCATGTGCCTGTAGTCCACATCCATTCTTGTTTAGGAGTGCTAAGCCCTGCTCTATCAAAACATGCTCTGTAATTTAATTTACTAGATGGAAATTAATGATGATAAGGCATAACAGCCAGATAGGTCAAGTGGCATTTTGGAAAAAGAACTCCAGTTTGTTACAGCTAAGGCCCCTTCCACACAGCTGAATAAAATCCCACATTATCTGCTTTGAACTGGAATATATGGCAGTATCGACTCAGATAAACCAGTTTAAAGCAGATATTTTGGGATTTTCTGCCTTGATATTCTGAGTTACATGGCTGTGTAGAAGGACCCTAAGAGATATAGCTAAAGAACAGGTTCTTCTCAGTGATTAAGTCTCTTTTTCTGTGTTTAGACAGCTAGTTTGCAATCTGTGGTCTAATTTTTCAGTTTGCTCTAAGATTTAATAATATTGTAAAACTGATCACTTAAATAGTTTACTACACTAAATACCTTCTTGATGTAATATGACCAGCCAACTAGACAACCAGGCTTTGCATGTGCATTCTGATCCTTACATTTCCTTGGCTATAGATTTCTATTTCATAAACCAAAGCAGCTAAAGGGTCTCTCCATTGCATCAAGACATCTTACTGTATCTCCACAAGGCTTCAGTGTTGGAAGAATATAATAATAAACTTTATTTATTTCCTGCCCTATCTCCTTGAGGAGACTTAGGGTGGTTTACAACAGATATCGGCAAACACTCAATGCTGTTAAGAAGCTGAACAAAGTAAAAAATAACCACCTTCCCAAATCCCAAAAACAAATCCACATCTACATCAAAAATCATAAACATTATCAAAAATTAAATGGTAAACATAATAAATATATGATTTCACAATTGTGAAATTTAAAATGAAATAAAGATGAATTGTTAGGTTGAAAGAGGGGCTCTCTACATGGGGTTGCCTTTGAAGATAGTTCGGAAGCTGCAATTGGTTCAGACATCGGCAGTCAGGTTACTAACTGGAGTGCCGTATAGGGAGAGAACCACTCCCATGTTACGGCAGCTCCACTGGCTACCGGTCTGTTTCAGGGCTAAATACAAAGTGCTGGTTATTATGTATAAAGCCCTAAATGCTTTGGGCCCAGCCTATTTGAAAAAACCTCATCCCTGCTTACAAGCCAGTACAAACGTTGTGGTCTGCAGAGGAGGCCCTGCTCTCAGTCCCACCTGTCTCAAATGCGGTTGGTGGGAACAAGAGAGAGGACCTCCTCCATGGCCACTCCCTGCCTCTGGAACTCCCTCCCTAAAGAACTAAAAATGGCCCCCTCTCTCCTCTCCTTTAAGTTATTTATTTACTTTATTTGTATACCGCTATTCTCAGCCCTTAGGCGACTCACAGCGGTTAACAACAAGAACAGCAAAAATTCCATGCTACCATAACACAGTATAAAAAACAGTTAACATCATAACATATTATAGAAAAGTATACAATTAACAATAATATACAATTAACACCAATAGCCATTCGCTAGCGTCTCATCACTAAAAACATGATCCAGATCCGTCATCCATTGTTCCAAAGCTTTTAAAGACCCACCTGTGCAATCTAGCTTATGGAGAGGAGGAGGACTAGCATACTTTACACACATCCTTGCCTTGATATCGGATACCTACCTCAGCCTACTGTTGTGATATATAATATTAGGGTTTTAATGTATTATGCTTTAATTGGTCTGATCTGCTGTGTTATATTATGTTTATTTAGTTTCCTTGGTTAAGTTTGGTTGTTTATAAGTTATATTTATTTTATTTCATGTTTTGTCTTGACTGTTGTTTATGTGCTCTTGGCATTGGATGTTTGTCATTTTTGTTATACTTTGGAAACTGCCCTGAGTCCCTTTGGGGAGAGAGAACAGGGTATAAATAAATTATTGCATTCTAAGAAACCTGGTTACATAATAAAGATGTATATAATGAAATATAAGGCCACTGATGTGAAGTGTACCTTACATAGGGATGTTATAAGAACAATTTGCATCAAATGAAATATGCTTTACTTCTAATGAGCTGCAAGACAAGAGAAAATATGATTAATTTTATATACAAGATTTTAAAGACAAGGGGAGAGGGATTTTGTAATGCTTTCCAAGATGTAACAAACTTATGATTTTAATAGATGGATTAGTATTATATGATTGTGTTATTAAGTAAAAAAAAACCTTTAATAATGTCCCAAAGTGTTGATAAGACTACAGAAAGATAATGAGTGATATTCTAAAAAGGGAAAAATGTAATCCCTTAGGAAGGAATAAGAAAAAATAATGTGATTAAATATTTTTGGTATTAAGGAATAACAAGAACAAGGTATTGAAAGAAGACAATAGTTGGATTTGTACTTAAGAGAGGTTTGAAATAATTGTATTGTATAATTGTTTAATTATTTCAAATATAACCACTGAGAGAAGGATGGAAGTAAACTCTTTTTCCCCTTCCTTATCTTCACATCTTTTACCTTTTCTTTTTCTGTTTTGCATTATTATTATTATTATTATTATTATTATTATTATTCCTCTTATGTTTAAATTTATCTTTATAACTTGGTTTTTTTTTTTTAACAAATGGAAGACTTTTATTTGCATCGAATTCACAAGCTTCTTGAAATAACAGCTGGTTAATCCTCATTATTTCTTCTTCCAAAATATCCACAAAGGAGCACCTATACTACCTCTCTGCATAAAAATCATCCAGGCCGACGCACTGCCATGATGACTGCACCATTCTTCTTCCATAGTTCTTCTGCTTTGAAGGTTCTTTGGTTTCCTTGGAAACAAACAACAATACAGATTACAATACATCAAGCTCACCGGGACAAGATTTTGTTACAAGACACATCTATTGTCAGGTATGACATTATTTTCATTTTATTTAGTGGCAACTACTTGAATAGCAACCTAAGTAAAACTGAATCCCCTCATCCTTCTAAAGTGGGTCACAGGCTCAGAAATTACATCAAAACAAGAAAGAATGGCTGAGCATCAAAAATAGTGAAAACATGGAATAACGTGGGTTGCTGTGAGTTTTCCGGCCTGTATGGCCATGTTCCAGAAGCATTCTCTCCTGACATTTCGCCCACATCTATGGCAGGCAAACTCAGAGATTGTGAGGTCTGTTGGAAACTGGGCAAGTGAAGTTTGTATATCTGTGGAAGGTCCAGTGTGGGAGAAACAAGTCTTGTCTGCTTGAGGCAAGAATGAATGTTGCAATTGGCCACCTTGATTAGCATTGAATGGCCTCGCAGTTTCAAAGCCTGGCTGCTTCCTGCCTGGGGTATCCTTTGTTGGGAGGTGTTAGCTGGCTTTGATTGTCTCCTGTCTGGAATTCCCCCTTTTTTTAGTATTGCTCTTTATTTACTGTCCTGATTTTAGAGCTTTTTTAAAATACTGGTAGCCAGATTTTGTTCATTTCTCATGGTTTTCACCTTTCAGTTGAAATTGTCCACATGCTTGTGGATTTCAATGGCTTCCATGTGTAGTCTGACATTGTGATTGTTAGAATGGTCCAGCATTTCTGTGCTTTCAAAGAATATTCTGTTATGGATGATTTTACAGGTTGAATTAGTGCCTTTCATGTTCCTTGATTCGTGTTGGGGTGCTGCATTTGGTGGTCCCTATGTAGACTTAGATAGGAAACTTAAACAGAAAACAGAAATCCCTTTCTAACACTTTCTGCCCTAACACTGCTGCCTTCTTCATTATCAAAAATTATCACCGTTTTATTTTCAAGAATAAGTAAAAAATGTATACTATCAAATAACTCAAGTTTGCTCTGCTGTGGTTTTAAGTTAGACTTGTTTTAGCTAAATGCAATAAATCTGTGTTCTGCTCAGACTTTTGACGTATCTTGCTCTTCCTTAATGCCTTTCAGTAGAACTCCTTCTGTTCAAATGTTTTGGTCAGTAGCTAAGAGGGGCTGTATGTGCAGCAAGACCAGATCTAGTGGTTAAAACCTTTGAAAAATTGGGGAAAGAGTGCCTCAGTCTACAGCAGTCCTTAATGCCTTTGTTGATCTTGGAGAAATACAGGAACCTGGTCAATACATCTGATCTGGTGAAAAAGGCCCGCATGCTACACTGTAATTGAGGTTGACTGCTCTAGATTCTTGGGGTAAAGTACTATGAATGCCAGTTTGTTCTTTTTTGGTTGATTAATTTTGATTACATATTTGATTTATATTAATGTGTTCTGCATGGCTTCTGTTTGAATCTAAATCCATTCATGCTTCGTAACATCAATGTCTTCTCCTCTTGTCTCTCTCGTGTTTTGATGAGTGTTTGATTGGAATTAATTTGGGCAAACTAAACCCAAACTAGGCTCCCCCCCCCCCCCCAAGACCATTCAATTTCCACCTCTTGGAAGCACCCAAAGTCTTACCTTCTCCAATAGTCTTCAAATCTATTGCCTCCAGAAAATCCAGCGAGGCCTGTTCTGCTTTAGACAAAAATAAATCTGTATTGGCAAGGATGATCCCTGTCACAGCAGCCCCAATGGCTCCAAGCCCAATTGTCCACATTGCCACAGAGAAAGATCCTAATTCCAGATGTGAACACATACCTAGAAATAAAGAAAAAGAGACTTCGTTATTCCAGGAAATAGTGGGATTTCAAAATTAGATTAGAAGAAACTAGTTTTATCCAGAGTACTGAAAAGGTGATCTTATCAGAAAAATACCAAGAACATCCATCCTACTTAGGTTACATTCTCCAAGCAAATATAATCAAACTACTGCTTGGATGCTTGACTCAAGAGGTATATCAGGGCTAAGGCTGGGTACTAGTTTGATTTATCATCTTACTGTTCCATGTGCTCAACAGTAAGATTATATCCTGTCCTTCTCAACACCCCAGGTGGGGACTCAGAGGGGTGCCCGTTTGACTGCTATGTGTATACCAGCAGTCCTCCATAAGGGGTTTACTTCCCTCCCTTGGCATACATATATTTTATTTTTCAACCAGAGCTAGCAGGTAAATTTCTCTTTTCTTGATGTACACTTTTCTAAAGAGCCAATTTATGGCCCTTATATATCTTCAAAACATGCAGTGCATACTCCTTAAGATAGTGCACACATACATATTCATCCGTTGGTGGCTTCGGTTTCACTCAGCCTCCTCTTTTATACTCTTGCCATGAAGAAAGAGATGATGTTTGTCTATTCATTCCTAGTTCTCAAAACATACCTTAGATGTAAAAATGATTTAATCCAAGTTTATGTATTTTGTGGGTTGGCTGTGGTAGGTAGATTTCAAGGCTCTAGGAGGAAAATCTATTAAATCACACATACCTGATATCTACTTTGGAAGGAATATAGCCTCATTCACAATGGATTGAAGACTACCTCCTTGAGAAAACCCAAACTATTTCTAAGGAGGTCTCCTATCAATGATCAAATACGAAGAAAAGCAATGTCGATGTATTTGGGAACAAGGTCAGAAATATTTCCTCAAGCCAAAGCTTCTGTAGCAGTTATATCAATGGCACCAAAGTGAAAGAAACCTTTGTACTCATTTAATATTTCTTTGCTGCATTGAGCAATGATTTTGCCAAGCTCCCTATAATGTACAATGCAGTTTCAAAGGGAATTGAGTCAGGAGCTTTGACACACCTGACCTTGGAGTCTGCCAATTTCTTGCTTGCATAATATCCCAAGTAAAGGGACTACAGCATTTTGTAAGTGCAAGTTATGGAGCAAGAATTCCCAGGCTTTATCACAACACCTTTTCTATATACACATACCACTTAGAAACACGGTAATTATGATAAGAATGAAGAGAAGCCAAATACTAGAGATCACTCATTACTGAGGAAATGAGAGGAGTGAAACTCAGTAAGATTGTTAGAAGAGATTTTCACAAAAAGAGACATGCAGGCTGGTAATATGATACAAGCAAACAAACACTATCCAACTACAAGGAGGCAGATGACATTACAATGTATTTATTTATTTGGTACAGATCTGGATTCACAAAAGCCGGAAGGTCAAGCTTTTCTAAGCAGGAAGGTTTTCTGGTGGTTCAATGTATATTCAATGTATTCAAGATCTAATCGAAGAAGAACGAGCCGACCTGGCTTGTATAACGGAGACCTGGCTGGATGAGGGGGGAGGGGTTAATCTCTCCCAACTCTGTCCACCAGGTTATTCCGTTCAGCACCAGCCAAGGCTTGGAGGGCGGGGAGGCGGAGTCGCAGTGGTCTATAAGGACTTTATTCCACTGATCAGGTGTCCCATCCCACAATCATCTTCCTTTGAATGTGCCGGCTTCAGGATAGGTGACCGGGACAGGATAGGGATTCTGTTAGTGTACCGACCACCCCGCTGCACTACAGTCTCCCTACCTGAGCTAGCGGGAGTGGTCTCGGACATGGCATTGAGCTTCCAACGGCTCTTAGTCTTGGGAGATTTCAACGTCCATGCCGAGGCCCCTCTTTCTGGTGCGGCTCAGGACTTCATGGCCGCCATGGCAACCATGGGCCTGTCCCAACTAATATCTGGTCCCTCCCATAGTGCCGGGCACACTTTAGATTTGGTTTTTGTCCAGGGATGGGATGAAGGTGACGGGATGGAGGAGCCGACCATCGCCCCATTGCCATGGACCGATCACCACCTGATCAGTTTTAGACTAACTGGGCCTCCTAACCTCCGCAGGGGTGGTGGACCCATTAGAATGGTCCGCCCCAGGAGACTTATGGATCCAAATGGACTCCTGACGGCTCTTGGGGATTTTTCCCACCTCCTTGGCTGGCGATTCTGTCGATGCTTTGGTCTCTCGCTGGAACAGTGAGATGACCAGGGCAATTGACACAATCGCTCCGGAACGCCCCCTCTCGAGTAACCGAGCTAAACCAGCCTCTTGGTTTACTGAGGAGCTGGCAGCGATGAAGCGAAAGAAGAGGAGGTTAGAGTGCGTGTGGCGCCAGAACCCCACCAATCCAGCCCAAACACACCTGAATGCCTTCTTAAGGTCCTACGGTGTGGCAATAACGGCAGCTCAGAAAACATTCATCACAGCCAATATTGCATCAGCGAAGAATCGTCCAGCGGAGCTTTTCCGAGTTGTCAGGGGCCTGTTAAATCCGCCAAAAAGCGAGGCCTCGGACAACTCGGTGGCTCGCTGTGAAGCATTTGCTCGATCCTTCGCGGATAAAATTGAGCGGATTCGGTCGGGTTTTGACGTCATGTTAACGGCAGTCTCTGGGGATGTAACGAGAGCATCTGCTTGTCCAGTTTTGTTGGATTCGTTTCAATTGGTTCAGCTTGAGGATGTGGACAGGATCCTTGGAGAGGTGCGACCCACCACATGCATCCTAGACCCCTGCCCATCCTGGCTGATCAAGGAAGCCAGAGGGGGTTTGGCAGAGTGGGTGAAGGTGATGGTTAATGCCTCCTTACAGGAAGGAAAATTTCCAGCGAGCTTAAAACAAGCTATTATAAAACCGCTGTTGAAGAAACCATCACTGGATCCCACTCAATTCGACAACTATCGGCCAGTTTCCAATCTCCCCTATTTGGGCAAAGTCATGGAACGTGTGGTGGCAACACAACTCCAGGGGTTTCTGGTAGACACTGATTATCTAGACCCGGCACAGTCTGGCTTTAGGCCGGGACATGGAACTGAGACAGCCTTGGTCGCCTTGGTAGATGATCTACGCAGGGAACTAGACAGGGGGAGTGTGTCCCTGTTGGTTCTGCTGGACCTCTCAGCGGCCTTCGATACCGTCGATCACGGTATCCTTCTTGGCCGCCTCATGGATATGGGGCTCGGAGGCACTGCTTTGCGGTGGCTCCGATCCTTCCTTGAGGGACGGACCCAGAAGGTGTTATTGGGTGACACCTGTTCGGCCCCACAACCGTTGTTGTGTGGAGTCCCACAGAGTTCAATCTTTCCCCCGATGTTATTTAACATCTACATGAAGCCGCTGGGAGAGATCATTCGGAGTTTCGGACTAAGATGCTATCTCTATGCAGATGACGTCCAAATCTGTCACTCCTTCTCACCTGTCACCAAGGAGGCTGTCCAGACCTTGAACCGGTGCTTGGCTGCTGTGTCGGACTGGATGAGAGCTAACAAATTGAAATTGAATCCAGACAAGACAGAGGTCCTACTGGTCAGTCGTAAGGCCGAACAGGGTATAGGGTTACAGCCTGTGTTGGATGGGGTTACACTCCCCCTGAAGACGCAGGTTCGCAGCTTGGGAGTGATCCTGGACTCATCGCTGAGCCTGGAACCCCAGGTCTCAGCGGTGGCCGGGAGAGCTTTTGCACAATTAAAACTTGTGCGCCAGCTGCGCCCGTACCTTGGGAAGTCGCATCTGGCCAGGTGGTCCACGCTCTTGTTACATCCCAATTAGATTACTGCAATGCACTCTACGTGGGGTTGCCTTTGAAGACTGTTCGGAAACTCCAACTAGTCCAGCAGGAGGCAGCCAGATTGCTCACCAGAGCATCATACAGGGAGCATACCACCCCCCTGTTGTGTCAGCTCCACTGGCTGCCGATCCAATTCCGAGCACAATTCAAAGTGCTGGTTTTGACCTACAAAACCCTATACGGTTCCAGCCCAGTGTATCTGTCCGAACGGATCTCCCTCTACGTCCCACCCTGGAGCCTAAGATCTTCTGGGGAGGCCCTGCTCTCGACCCCGCCTGCACGGCAGGCTTGGCGGGGACGAGAGACAGGGCCTTCTCAGTGGTGGCCCCTCACCTGTGGAACTCACTCCCCGGGGAGATCAGATCGACGACTTCCCTTCTAGCGTTTAGGAAAAAACTAAAGACCTGGATGTGGGACCAAGCTTTTGGCCATGCTGACAACTAACTAAAGGACCTGTCGATAGACAAGGACAATGGAATGGAATGGATATATGGACTCTGATATATGGACTCTGACATGAGATAGTTTTTATGATTTATTAGGTATTGATGTTTTATTTTAATTGTTGAATTGTTATATTTTTTGTTTGTTGTGTGATTTGGGCATCTAATTGTGCCTTTCCTGTAAGCCGCCCTGAGTCCCCCTCGGGGTGAGAAGGGCGGGGTATAAGTAGATGAAATAAAATAAATAAATAAATAAAACTTTCATGCACAAAATTATTAAAACAGATATAAAATAACCTTCAGGTGTATAAGATGTATATGGATCATAAGCAAATGTCATGTTTAAATTTGTGTCATATCACCAAAATCTATGTATAGGCAAATGGAGGTAATAAAAAATATGAAAAGATCCAAAAATTTTCCAAAGAATTTCGGATATGGGATATGCAGTCTGTCCTAGACAGGTGTGCGCAGAAATAAGCTGTTGACAATTTATTTTTCAAATGGCATGAAACAAAAAAGCAATCTCTCACATATTGGCACTCAGTTTATTTGTATAACATGTTCTCTTTGTGTTCAAATTAGATTGCAAAACAAATACAATCACCATTATTAGTATGTATAGTCAATGTAACATTAACTCATCATATAACATTGCAGTTTATGCTGACAATATAAGTTATTTTCATGAAGATGGGGGTGGGGAACAGTAAGATTAGTAATAATGTTTGTGTCACTATGTCATC